GTGTGTGTGTGTTTCTTATGTCTTTGGTGAATTTTAAGGAAAGAAACTGTTAAAATACTAAAATCCATGTCTAAAGTAATTAAAATTATTTTGTTATTTTGAATTTTATTTAGTTTGAAGACAAAAAAACCTTGTCTGACTTTGGAGAAAAAGACAGTGGAATGTCTCAGATAGAATAAAGTTTATTGAGCCTTGAAACCATTTAAATCAGTGGTTCCAAAACTTTTCACCTTCAAAATATCCGTGTCCGAGGCTTGTGACCCCAAATATTACTAGTCTAAGTACACAAACATCAAAAACTCTAATAAACAAGAGCTTATTGACAATCTAAACAGCTTGTGCAGAAATACTGTTTGTTATTTTGTGATTTTTTTATGTTTTTATAATAAATATAGGAAAATATTACATCACCAGTTATTTTTATTACGTTTAAATGGATTGGACCTTAACTTGATGCTTCATGGCCCACAATTGGGTCACAACACTAAGTTTGGGAACAACTGATTTAAATATTTAAATCATAATAACGGTGGCCAATGTGTGCTGTTTTTTATGTTGTTTTTGTGCAACTCAATTTTGGTTTATATAAACATTTTGTCAAACAGACAAAAAAACAAAACAAAACAAAAACAACAACAAACACACATTGTTCCATTTCACGTGTGATAGCTCCCAAAATATAGGAACTGCCTTTGTTTTTTAATTCTTTTCTTTATTTTTCATATTTATTCATTGGTCTATTTTCATCACAAGCATAAAAACATCCAGTTCAGTGAAAAACATCCTACTCATGTCCAATATTTATGTCATGCATTCAGTATATCAGCAGGAGCTATTGTGCTTAGGTTATTTAAATGATAATTCCAAGGTAATGACTATAAAGATGATACCAAATAAATATGTGTTGCCCCGTGGTTCCAGCCTTGAGCTGTGAAGCATTGCTCGGTCAGCCTCAAGCTGATGCTGATTATTATATGTCATGTTTATATTCATGTGTTCACATTCAGAACTGCTCTGCCGGAATCTGAGTTTTAGAAAATTCATTTCATGGAGATAAGGAAATATGTTGACAGGTGTCTAATTCTCACTGCTGAATATGTTTTTCACCAACATCCAGTGCTGTGTTCCACCACACAGTCTGGTCTGAATCGAGTAAACTTTGATTTATTTAAACTTGTACAGTAATTTTTGTAACAAACCATACTTTTGTGTTGATATGTGTGTTTTAGTATAAGTAAATGTGTCTAAGCATTTGAAAAGTGAACTGTATGTAAGAAGGAAATTAAGTTTTAACTTTTTATGTTGATTGCAGGTCTCTGATTGCTCCACTGAAGGAATGTTCAGGGCTTTCTCTCAACACGTCCTGCATCGGCTGAACATCTTTCAGGATGGATTGAAGGTAGGAATTCAATCTTTGGAGAATAAATGACTGCATATCACCCATTGCATTTCATGCCAGAGTTTTAAACTGAAATCATTTCATGATGAGAAATTGGAAATTTATTGATGTTTTGGTCAAACCTTGTAAACGGGATCTCATGCAATATTGCAAGATCTTGGGTCTTCCCGGGGGGTCTCCTACCAGTGGGACGTGCCCGGAACACCTCTAAAGGGAGGCGTACTGGAACCGTCCTAATCCTGAACCACCTCAACTGATTCCTTTCGATGAGGAGGAGCAGCGGCTCTACTCCGAGCTCCCCTCAGATGACAAAGTTCCTCACCATGTCTCTAAGGGTGTTTTCACCCCAGCTCTGTTCAATCCACTTTAATCCAACTGTAGTTTGTTTGCCCAGAAAGTCAGGTTTGTTTGGGGAGGTGTGAACGTGTAATCGAACTCTGGTGTGGATCAAAAAGCAAACTCTGGTTCGCCTGAAAACATAAGTCTCGGTTCAGTTGAAGTGAACTCTGGTGCGGTTTGATTGCATGTGTGAACACCAAGCAGACCTGAGACCACTCCAAAAGTAGGAAGCGGACTATAACGCAAGTCATTCTGAGTAAAAATAGCAAAAAAGTAACTCATATCTTGTAAATACCTTGCTCATTGTCTTTACAAGGTGGACATCACTGCTGTGAAGTTGGATGAGCTCCTACTCGGTGAAGAGAAGTCACATGGAGCCGTCTCAGCCACCTGTGTGGAAAGAAACATTCTCCACGGTTCCTCCTCATCTTCCTCTCATGCTGAGCTCATTGTTGAAGACTATTTGTTTGGCACCTTTGTCAAAAACAAAAAGAAACTGAACTGCTAAAATCTGACTTTACCCCATGTTTACATTTTGCGAAGAAGGAATTTGCGCTCAGTGTCTTCAGAGGTTTTCGTGTTTTTTCTTCAGTGATTCTTGTTACAGCACCACCACAGGTGAGGGAGGGAACAGGTTGTTCTCAGGATTTAGTTCATTTGACAACTGAAAATGTAAACAAATCTTGCAGTTTTGGTCCTCAGTCAAACCAAGTCTACCGGACTGTCATGTATGACTACGACCTAAGTCCGAGCTCAGCTACCCTATGAAGGAAGCTCATTTTGGCTGCTTTTATCCAGGATCTTGTTCTTCCGGGCATGATCCACACCTCATGACCATAGGTGAGGGTTGGAACGCAAACAGACCAGTAAATCAAGAGCTTTTTCTTTCAACTCAACTCTTTCTTCACCACGACAGACCGAATCGAGTGCGAGACCCTAAACGCTCGACCCGTCTCTCATCTTGCCATCACTTGTGAACAAGATATTCAGATACTTGAACTCTTCCACTCCTCCTTCCAGTCGAGAACCATGGCCTCAGACTTAGAGGAACTGACTCTCATTCCAGCTGCTTCACACTCGGCTGCAAACCACCCCAGTGCACGCAGAAGGTCTTCGCCCGAAGATGCCAACAGAACCACATCATCTGCATAAAGCAGAGACAAGGCCCTGTGGTTCCCAAACCAAACACCCTCCTCTCCACGACTGTGCCTTGAGATCCTGTCCATAAACACTACAAACATGGTTAGAGTCCAGGCACAGCAGTGACTAGTGGTTCATGAGATAGCTAGCTAACAGTAAGACAATATAGTACCTTCAGCAGCTGGTGATATTAAATAATACCTTCACTTTATCAAACAATGTCTTCTATACTTAACAGTATTCTACAAAAATAGTTTGTTATAGTCTGTTGTAAAAAAATAATGTTTAAGTTCCTGATCCTTAGGTTTGTTGTGTTGTAGGAGTCAGAGGTTTGTGTTGATGTCATAAACTGTGTGAGATGGAAGAAACCAGTGGAAGCAGCTGTTGGGTAACAATAACCACATCAATAATCTAGTGTTGAAAGAACACGCGCATCAGTCCAGTGTCAAGTCTTTATGATGCTCAGTTTAAAGTGATTGTATCTTTCTAACCGGCGTCTGTGTTCTGATAATCTCTTCTGTTGTTTGGAGCAGCTCATTGGCTGTTCATGCTAAGAGGCTTTGCAGTGAGACGTGAGGCTGCAACATGTATGATCTCTGTTTCTTCTTTCCGTTTGTTACAACACTTTCATACACTTTGTGGTCACAAGGTGGCAATAGAGACTGCAGAAATTAAAGAACTATGTCTACTGGCTGTCTATACGAGGAGTAGATTTGGAGGGAAAAAAGTTTTGACTTTAGAAATGTATTTTAATGTGAATTCAGACATTTTATCCTGTCCATTACGCTGTTTATAAGAGACACCTGATGTGAAGCTGTTTAGGCAGTTTTGAATTGGTGGCGTGTTTTCAGAGCGGTGTCTCTTCTGTGTCCTTGGCTGATTGATTATTGGGTTCATCGTTGTTTTCAGGAGGGGCGTGTTCGTGTCACCCTGCTGGCTCGCAGCACAGAATACAGACGAATACTTAACCAAGTGGAGGTGAGTTCAACCCCTTTTCTTCCTCCCTTATTTTATCTTTCACTTCACTCTCGTCATGTTGTTCTTGTCTTTCCCTCTTTGTGCTTCCTTCTTTCCCCCCCGGCCTAACTTATGCAGCTTTCCTACTCTCCCATCCCCTGCACCACCCCCTGTCATTGATTTGCCGTCCACCTCTGTTAGGCGCATACTTAAAGTCTTATTTGCTATAAACAGTGCAAAGATTGTGGTTTATAAAGTCACTGCCCATATTTGTTTGTGCTCTCATTGATCACAGACCATGTCCACTTGTTTTTTATTTCATTTTTACAGCTGGTCAATGCCCTCAAGACAGTGCCTCTGCTGGAGGTCAATGTGGTGGACTACAAATACAAGTGAGTTAAGGATTGCTTACATGTTAGTGTTTTGTTACAACCTGGCTTGTAGTGGAAGCAACATAAATAACAAGATCCAAAATATAGTGTTAAAAAAAAAGTAAGGTACAATTTATTTTTACAGTGAAAGTGCAAAACATTAAAATAAAGCACAACAAAGGTAGGAGTTTCCTCAGAATTAACTGAAATACAACAAAACATTTTGTATAGACAATAAATGGACTAACTGAAGTATAAGGTAAAAAATCTAAATAGGAAAAGTCCAAAAGCAAAGAAAAAACAAAATCTCCTGTAACAGAAATGGTGTCTCAAAAAGGAAGTTTTTTGCTACCGAAGATTCTGTAGAATAGACACGAAGCAATACAATTCTAACAAAGACCACTGAAGCACACAGTTATCGGCAGCCGACTGGACGACATGTGGATGTTTGATGTTCGTTTTATCACACACCTTTCATAGTCCTTGAGACACCGAGCTCCAGGAAAACGCCTTCTGCTGTGGTATATGTCACTGCATGGGGTTTCTTCCCACTAGAGTCTACACTCTGGGGGAAAAAATCCTTCTGATATCATCTAGCATTTTGTCTTAAAAAAACGTCTGAGTTTTTGGCCGTTTGACTCGTTATAAATCTTCTGGGCACAACAGTCGGATTCTGAAAGCAGTTAGTCAAAGCAAAATGCAGCGTCCGACCAATCACACAGTTTAGTTCTCATGCAGAGGGAGGTGAAAAGTGGAAGACTCAAAGCCGCGAACAAAGTGATGCAATTTTCATCACGCAACTGCGACAATGCAAGATGATTTTGGCAGTTTGGATGGATCATACTGGGCGTTTAAGTCAAACCAACAATGGCATGATTGAAAGGCTGGGCTGGCTTTTATAAGCTCCTTCATGTAGTCTGGCCTCCTCATTGGCAGCTACTGCCAGGTAGGTGTTGCTATCCAAGGTGTGCTCCAGCCAATCGTCTTTGGACAGGTATACCTCAAAAGTCCTTCCAAGAGGTCTTCCAGTTGAAGGATGCAACCAATCAACAAGTGGAGCTGGAAACGTTTTATCCTTACACGGAGAAGCAGTAGAGAAAACAACACAAAACAGGAGAAGACAGGCAGTACAGGCCTGGAACCATAACATGTTTGAGCTGATGTTGGTGTGTAACTCCACATGTGTCTTTCAGGGACATTCCCTTTGTGGAGCAACTGAGGATCACACACAACTCTGACATTTTCATTGGGATGCACGGAGCCGGACTCACTCACCTCCTCTTCCTCCCTGACTGGGCTGTCATCTTTGAGCTGTGAGTGGCAGTTTTTGTTTGTGTGTGTGTGTGTGTGTGTGTGTGTGTGTGTGGTGGTGGGGGGGGATTGAACACGAGTGGAGCAGAGAAAAAGACCAGTCGCTTTGGCAGCTTCCTGTTTTTTAAAGTACCACTCAACCACTCGGTGTGTTAATGTGAAACAACTGCCTAATTAATCAGGTGTTCATCACACCTGGCAAGCCTTGGCAGGAAAGCTCACAGGAATGTGGCATGGTTTTGTGTGGCTTTTCATGAATCCCACAAAAGAGCGAAGCACTGTGGGCATATATACAATAAAAGCCGTGTGGTGGGGAAAAAAAGAAGACGATTGAGGGGGAGATTGAGAGGCAGGGAGAAGAAATTCAGAGATATGAGTGTCTGCATCTGTCCTTTTCAGATATAACTGTCAGGATGAGAGCTGCTATCGAGATTTGGCTCGTCTGCGGGGCATTCAGTATGTGACTTGGCAGAAAATGGACAAAATGGTCCCACAGGACAAGGTAGGAAAACTCCCTCACAAGCCACCGGCTGCTCAGGAACACAGCTGAGGCTCTCTGAACTCAGACACACTGTTTATTAGGTGCAGAACATTTACCCAGTTGTTCTTCCTCTTGTGGTTTTTTTTTTCATTCCTTGTTTTTCAGGGTCATCATCCTACCCTCGGGGACCATCCTAAGTTTACAAACTACTCCTTTGATGTGAGGGAGTTCATGCGTATCGTGATGGAGGCAGCCGATTACGTCACACATCATCCCAAATGGCAGCCTGGGACCCATCATGATGAACTTTAGCACATCTGTGAGTGTCTGAGGAAAGCCCTGCTGTTTTAGACATGTTGTGCAAAATCCACTTTTTCAGCCCTTCAATTTTGTTGTGTACTTGGAGACTCCAGGCAAGGAGAAAATTGAATTTAGTCTCTCACAGTGCTGCATGGATATCTTTATACTCAGTTATTAAGATCCGTTCAGTTTTCTTCATTCCCTATTATGTTTTTGAACAATCACATCACAGCATTTGCTGCAGAACTGCTAAACAAGGTTATGAACTTCAGCTAACCAGTTTTGCGAATCCGATTCTGTTGGTTCATGGTCTTAATTCTACTGTGGCGCTGGGTCAGACTCTGGCTCCAACACGTAAGGCTGGATGGACAGGTTTTCTGTTGTTGACGTCTTTTAATCAGTTTGTAAATAAAAGGTTTCTGTGCTGCTAGATAATTGTATCAAACTACAAAAAAGGCTTTGTAGAGTGGACAGTGATCATTGGGAGGGATGCTACGTTTCAGTTGTACTTGGAAGTCGGAATTTCTGACCTATGCGTCGAAAATATTAACTGGAACAGCCCTTTTGAGTTGGCAAGTCAGTGCAACATGACCATCCCCGAGCATGCATGACGTCATCTTTTCAACATGGCTACTCCTTGCATCAACAGAGAATGAAACTTTTACGTTTTTTTTAGCAGTTCTTTGTTGTTTACTTTACATTAAGTCAGTCAGGCTTGTAGTACTTTATAGCAATTATTAGGCAATATGTTTTAACTCTGTACACTCAAAATGCTGCATAGATAGGTATTGTCGTATGTGTTAATGTTGAATTATTTTGTCAGAGCAAGAAATAGAAAAAGCTTTTTCTCAATATTCTGACAAGCTGGAAACTGGAACTTTTTCAGCTCAGAACTGACGTCAGTCCGACTTCACATTTTCAAGTTCCGTTGCTACTCAAACACAACATGAGACCTGGAGGGGGGCGGAGTCTAAACATGAAAATGAATCCTGTATGCACCATGTTGGCAGAACATTATTAACCTCATGTTCGGTGCATCCCAGTCACACTCCACCGTATCTGTCACTTCCTGTCTGCTGCTTTGATAGATCAAGGAAAAAAATGCAGTATGGCGACACTTCATGTTTGATTCACTTTTACTGTCTTTATTAGTATCAGATCAGTTAAAGAGTGCGAGCACTTGAAGCAGCTGGAGCGTAATAAGATGTCTCCCATGTTTCTTCATTACCTCTGCTGCGGCTACTTCATTCCATGTCGTCAAAGTTAGCAAATGAGCAGCTGTTGTGGCGTACCTTCACCTGCCACATCTTGTCCGATTTGATCAGCGCCACGCTGCTGGGAGCTGCTGACAATCAAGCTGCATTTTCTGAGCACGCCCAGCATAAACTGATCTAATATAGTGTGTACTTGTATTAAGGGAGATTCACATCATGTTGCAGTGCAATAAGTCTGGCAAAGAGTTTTAGTGAATAATTAAAATGACAAAAATAACTCACGTTATTGACAGTATCACCCTTTTAGAAGGCCCGCAACTTTATGTTATCATGTGAAAACATGTTTTAAGTTTACATATGCTGCTTTTAAATATTTTTTTGCACGTTTAAATCATTAAGTTGGGGTTTACGTACATAAACTGGAACTTCAATGCTGAATTCCTCATTGTGACTTCACAAGCCCCTTTTTCACCCTTTTTCTGAGGTGTGTCAGATCAACTCACACTTCACACCTAACCCCACCTCCAGCTTCCAGACAAGGGCGGAGCTAGACTTTTTTGCAAGGGGTGGCCCGGGTGTAGCCAAGGTGTTATCAAGGGGGGGCACAAATAAATAAAGGAAACTACCTTGGATTTAAAAATTCAAGCTAGCAACCACAGCTAAATTTAAATGGCTATAAATCAGCCATTTTAAGACTGATTGTGCTGAAACTTGTTGTGGTGTAGCCAAGAATGATTGCTAGTCCCAATTTAAAGCTAACCACTAATGCTAATTTTACAAAGCGCTGTAATTCAGCCATTAAATACACAGCTGAATATTTATATAATTTTAGCCAAGAATATTTTTTAAACAAAATCAGAATGTAAATACAAAATCTAAGATGACAACCAAAGCTAATTTTAAATAGTCGGACCTCAGACACTTTTAGAAATACTGAGTATTTGGTAAGGTGGTAGCAAAGAGCAATCCTCTGAAATCTCAATTTTAACCTTTTGGAGATATTAGGCTAAAGTTTAGTGTGGTGGGATCTGAGAACGATGCCTAACGTATTCTAAAATCAAATAAAAGAATCCAAGATGTCCACCACAGCTAAATTCAAATGGCTGCAATTTAGCTGTTTTTATACATATTGAGCTGAAATTTGGTGTGGTGGAATTGTTGGTTTTATATTAATTTAGTGGTTTAGAAAATTCATTTTCTCTTCACACACAGAGAGGTTCCATCAACACTAGATAATGCAGCTGCATAGCAGATATTTACTTAGTTTTAGCTCTAACTGGCCATCAAATGTGATCCACACCCCCATTTGTCAGTCATTTTGGGATGTTGAACAATATGATCCAAACAGAATATAAAGATATCTACATAGCATTTCAGTTTTTCCGCACTCCTGAAGACTCCAAATACACAAAAAAATGTATTTATGTCAAAAAACACTTATTTTGCATATGTCCCCTTTTAATGAGCATGTGAAACATGTGAAACACATTTTCAGCTTAATGGTTTTCTACATAGGATCAGATGTGGTAAACATGGTAAATTCATCTTTTTTTAAATTTTAATAATGAAATTTTTTTTGTTTGTTTTCTCCGAAGGCACACATCTCCCTTTGAATGTTTTTGGGAAGAAGCCCTAAGGCAGACCCAGAACTCGCTAAGAGGAACCATATATCCTGTCCGGACTGGGAACACCTCAGAAGGAGCTGCAGAGTGTTGCTGAGGAGAGTCCAAGACCCAAACAGATAAGCAGAATTTAAATGGATCAATGGATAAAAATTATCATATGAAAATGAAAAACTGAGATCATGATGAACAATAAAACTGTCAGGTAAATTTGTATTTATTTATTATAAGTTTTTGGCAAATTAATGGGACATAATATTCAAGATGGCCGCCACATTTAATTAACCTGGCCCTGGTTTAGTCACCTTCACATACTGAGGTAAAATTTGGTGTGGTAGTAGGAGTAGTCAACCACAATACACACCCTGAAGACTTTGTACAAACTTTTTAAGAATTTGGCTTGTAGAGCAGCAGGCAATATTCATTTCTTCAAAAATTGTGACTTTTTTTTACATTTTTATTACGTCTTTGTATCGCAACACTCTTAGTCGTAGAAAAAAAAACCTGGTTAAGTTTTGCTTATCAATCGTTTAAACCTGTAAAAAATTACAGGTCGAGGATGAATCACTATAAAAGCAAAGAAAGGGTTTTCTTTTGATACCAGTGTTCATGTTTGTGCGTTGTTAAGCACAACAGTATTAAGTACTGTTAAAAAGACAAATAATGTAATTCGGAAGGAACGTTTAACACTCCACACCTCTTCATATTGTATTTTTTTGTTTGTTTTGTTTTGTATTTTTATATTTAGACATTTTGTTCATTTATTTTTCTTATTTGAATTTTAGTTCTGTTTAGCTTTTTTTTGAAAAGCATGCTGATGCTTCTTCAGGCACAAATGATTTTGTATTTTACTTGAAAAGTATCAAAAATCAACATCAAGAATGTAAAATGATGAGGGGGCGGCTACGGTCTGCTGCATTTCCTAAAGCCTTTTAAGTTATTTTATGACTGAAGCAGAAAAAAAGAAAATATTTTATATGCAACTCAAAGGAGTGGTTTTTTTTTATTTTTTATTAATCCAATGGTTTTCTGTGTCCCAGGCTTCTCAGTGGTGTTTTAAAGTGTCTTTAAAAAGTATTCACCCCCTTGGATGTTTTATGCTTTTATTGCTAATAGAAATCAATAAAAAATGTCCTGTTTCACTAAAAAAGAAAAAAATATAATTTTAATGTTAAAATTAAATCAAAATTCAACAGAGTAATATCAATTAAATGAAAAAAATTGTACTATAAAATACGTAAGTACATAAATATTCACCCCATTGAAAGTGTCTGTCCTAATTCAACTCAGAGAAATTATGATTAAAAGGTACAAGTCAGAGGATGGTAAAAAAATGATTCCCAAGACCCTAAATAACTTCAGACGTTCTGATAAATCCATCAAGAAGAGCAGATTAGCGTTTGGCAAACTTGTCGATAAGAAACTATTGTGATTTCACTTTGACACTGAAGATTTTTAAAATTGTTTTATTGTAAAGAAGACCAATTTATGTTGACCTTGACTGATTTCTGACAGTAATAAAAACTTCTAATATCCAGGGTTTCATGCTTTTTATATGCATTATTTTCTTTATTTTTTATTTTTTTTTTTTTTACGTATATCACTGCTGATCTGCTTCTGATTTTGATTTGCTTAAAATTTGGGCCATTTAATTTCCAAGCGAAGGGAACTATTTTGAAATAAAGATTTTTTTTAGAAAAAAAAACATTGAAGCATGTGTACTTTTCTGTGCAGGCCACATCAAGCATCAAAGCTTCATTTCATCCTCGTTAAACAAATATGTTTTGAAGTGTGACCTTGCAGGCAAAACTGAAGCCTCTGTCCTTGCTGACGCCACATGGCTTTGTGTTGGCTGTTTCATTGTTTTAGTGAGTTTTGGATATTAAGGAGGTAAATCTGCGTGACCTAAAAACAAACATTCTTGCCAATGAATATTTTTGACCACAGGGGGGCAGTAGAACCCCACACATGAGGGACCAGAGCCTTGTGCCTCCTCTCGCCGCTGACTGACTGAGCTCAGCAGTGTTGACTGTAAAAGTAATGGATTCATAAAAATACCCCCAAAAGTCCCATGAATGCTGTTTGCTCAGCGGCGTTGGCTTCCATAAGCCAGGTTTGCTGTCAGCAGTGGAGCTCCTGTGCGGATGTTGTGTCTGAACTTTCTGGGTATTGACAGACACCGAGCCCGTCTGGGATGGACACTATTTATGGCCCTGCTCAGGTTGCTGCTGGTGACCTCGTAAAAGAAATGAGGAATCTCTTTACTTGGGGATCAAAAGGCACGAGGAACCAAGAAGCCTGGGCTTCTTGTAGAGTGAGAATAAGATGACCAAAATCAGACTTTTGGAGGAGAATCTGTAAAAAAAAATAATAATAAGTGAGGAGAAAACTATATTAAAGGTGTGAAGCACACAGTTTGTACAATAGCCTAATTAGTGGTGGCTCTTTTACAGGTTTCGAGATAAGAGGCCTCACATTTTGTGCCTCGGGTCTTGAGTCCGTTTTAGTTTGAAAGATTTCCATCAGGGCTGTCACGTTTTCAGCAGAAATGTGAAAAATTTGTGAACTAATTTGTCCTTGAATAAAACTTTCCTGGAATTTTAGCTCTCCGGGATTATCTCCCAACAAAGTGAAGAAAGTTGCAAAAAAAGAGAGAAACTCCACATAACCTAAACTTTCTGGTTCTTTATTTCTGCAGCCACACTTGACTCTGTTCCTGATCTCCTTAAAGTCATGTCTGTTTGCATTTTCTCTGTCACGAATTATCTTTAAAGACAAACATTTCTCCCCGCTGAATAAAAATCTATCACAATCTGCTCGTCTTACTTTGGCCACTTTTCCAGACATCCACACACCAGATATATAAAAAAGCAGGAGGAATTAATCCAGGAATATTGATTTAAGAGCAAAAAAAAGTATCTTGCGTTCAGATATTTTTCTCTTATGCTTTTACTCTCCTGGGTGAATAAGTAGACGAGATCCTATAACCCTGCTTCTATATTACACGACACAAAAAGAGACATTCTGCCCACATTTCACATTTTTTTATCCGCCTCCCTACAAAACAAAACCACAACACATGAGGACAATTATTTAGTCTTTAACGTGCCATTTCTGTTCAGACTCTAAGGACGAGCAATCCTTTTAAGATGGCTCTAATGTAGGAAAACAAGGAAATTAAATTTCAATCTGTTCATCAGCATCAGGGAAAGTGTTTTTTTTTTTGTCACATGATGCGGCTTCCAATGATAGCATCAGACAACAGAGGACATAAGTGCTGCAGGTTGTTTCTCCATTATAGAAGACCCCCCCACCCCCCCCTTCCCGATCCCCAATGGGACATGCAGTTTCAGGAGCAGTCAGACGATTCCCTTTTACACATTTAAAATCCACTTTTGAATGTTTTTTTTTCTTTACCTGCAAGCTGTAAACAGTGTGGAGTTGTTCACGAGGCACCTCCCTTCTTGCATCAATGCCTAATCTGTTCCCACTTCAAAGCCAGACAGATCGATTCGTAACAGGTTCAAGCAAAGATTAATCGGTTGAAAACAAACACACTGTTACCTTTTTTTTTACCTTTTTCATTTTATTTGGTGGAAAATATGAACTCCTTAGTTGTTGAGGATGGAGGAAAACTGTACCTCTAACTGATAAGGGCTTGTTAATGAGGGATTAACTGTTTATAATGCATTTATAAACCAGATTTCTTATCATTATAAGGTCAAATTTTAACTGTTCTCCATAATTTAGATTTTAAATATCAACTATGTCAGGTTGTCTGAATATAAGCACTTATACAACAGTTGTTCTGTTGTGTGAAGTTAATTTAAATCATAAGCTGAACAATAAATTATGTTTACCTGAATGAACAAGGGTTCAGTATACTGGCAAACAGCATTCAATGAACTTGGCTTTACAGCTTCTAAGAAGTTCAAATCAAAGGCAGCTGGACTTAATTCTGCTTCTTGTCTGAGGAGTTTTTTCGGTCCAACAGGAAATTATATTTCAAGCTTTTAAAACACAACAGTGCTCCATTAATACAAGTTTAGATCATGCAAATCGCTCCGCCTCCACTCCACCCTGAGGGTCATTAGGCTCTTAGAGGGCCAGGTTCACAAGAGATGTTTTGGTCCCACAGGCAGGAGCCTGAAGCTCTATTATAGGTGAATGACAAAGTACTAATATTTTTATGAGGTGACCCTTAATCCTGCACACGAACCGCCCTGTTTTTGTTAACTTTTTGTTTGTCGAGTTGACACAGGATGCGCCGCGTGGCCAAGCAGCGGCAGCCAGAGGAGAGAGGGAGAAAGAGACATCTGAACGGATCGGATCCCTCTCACCTCGGGTCGTTAGTGGACATCGATCTCCTCGAAGTCTTAATGACTGCAAATACAGCGCAGAACAATCAATCGCCATCAACAGGCCGGAATATTCTGGGATGGAATAATTGATAGGCCTGTCTCCTGGTGCGTAACGGAGAGGCTGCGGTGATTAAATTCGGTTTACCGCCCTGGTGGTGGTCTCTGTGCGTATGTGTGTCTGAGCGTGTGTTGGCAAAGGGGGGAGGTAAAGTTGCGGGGGGAGGGGGGGGGTTGACTTACATCATCCGAGAGCATCAAGTGTTGATATGTGTAACACGAGCAAAAACGAAGATGAGGCGGTCTATTATGGGTCTCGGAGTCCTGCAGGCTGTCAGCTTCTGCAGGATCAAAGGTCCATCAGGGATCAGACTCCCTCAACACACACACACACACACACACACACACACACACACACACACACAC